CCCATATTCGGTCTACAGAAGTTAAGGTACCGTATATACTACATCGCACTCAAATCCAAGCATACAACAGAAACTTTAGATTATCAAACGAAACTAGGGGTGAAAGTCGGATGGATCGGATCGAAACTAGTCTTTTCGGAAATTTTCCAAAATTTTCGGAATCTAAAAATTCATTCCAATTCCAAAAGGCCCGCAAATTTAGGAATTTCGGAAAAAAATCGGAAATCACATAAGTTTTAAAATTTCAAAACTTAGCCGAAATTTTCTGAAAATTTGATAATTTTCCAAAAATAAGAACATCCACGTCGATAAAAGTAAAACTAATAATTGCTAAATTTCAGTTCAAAAAAATAAATAAAAATAAACCACATCATAATATCTTATAAAACTTCTAACAACAGTTCAATATGTCAAAATCCTAAAACAAAACTTATATCAAATTACTGTTTTAGAACAGAAAAAAAAAAAAAAAACTTAAAATAAGTATTATATAATATTTATTATTTATATGTGTATTTTTCGGGAAAAAACGGATTTTTTCGGAATTAATTTCGGAAATTAAATCGGATTGGAAATCGGAAATTCCATTTTTTTTCCTTATAATTCCAATTCCAATCCTCGGAAATCGGAATTTCAGAAGTCGGAATGAACAAAGTTGTTCCAAAATCATAATTTTTCGGATCGGAACAAACAAAAATTGGAATTTCCAACTTGCTAAACGAAACTAATGGATACTTTACAGTGTACAGTACTCGATCAATGGATACAGAAATCCAACAGAAGGTACGCCAAAACCGATTTCCACAGCAAGCTCTGCATCACGAAAAAGACCGTTTCTACATACGCTAAGTCGAACCCAATTTTACGATAGCAAATGTTAACGAATGAAATTGTACCTCAAAGTTGACGGTCTCTTTACTGAACATATTGTAGAACAAATGCCTAAATGCTTTCGGCTTGTGCAGAATCAAATCGATTACGAGAATCTAGATAATTACCAGCATCCAGGAAAAAAAATTAATCAAAAAAATATTAAAATTAAGCATCAAATATGATCAAATTTTGTATTCTACTTTGTTCGATTACCATCAATTCACACTCGATGTACTCATCAGCAACTGCTTTGCATTTGCCCTAAAATAAATTTCAATAAATTAGAGAGAACGTAAAAACAAAAATTGAAATTGGGTGAAAAATAAGTATGAATTACACATCTCATGAGGCGAATGTTTCCTGGGGAATACTGAATGTAGAGGGTTTTGATAGGGAATCCACACTGCACGCATCGGAAGTCAGTTGTACCCTCCGCTGCGCTAGTAGTACCACAGTCCTCCATTTGTGGTGTTCTTATCTGGTTTTTTTTTGCCTGTGGCAAAAGAGTAATGACAGAGAACATGAAGCATGTAAAAGAGTAGATGTAAAAGAAATTTAAAAAAAAAGGAAAAAAATAATGCGCCGGAGAAAGGTGAGAGCGGTTACCGGAGAAGTAGTCGGAGTGGATTTGTAAATGGATTTGCGGCTGGCCTGTGTGATTTGGGAATTTTTCAAATTAGTGAATTTTTTTTTTTTATTATTTGAGGAAAAATTAGTGAATTTGAAATAAAGAGAATTTTGTTACACATTCTTTTTTGATTTTTCTATTGAGATCAATTTTGCTACAATTTGTTTCTTAAAAAAAAAAAAATTGATTCAATTTTTGCTTAGGACAAAATATATTTTATCAAATGCATTTCATTCTAAAAATTGGAAATTTATCACAAGTCAATGAAAATGAGTTTATTGGGATGAAAATCATATAATGGTGTTATGAAAAAAATGCATAAAATCCCATTATGAAATGATTTGTGCAGGCACATATTAAACAGTCAGGCACATTTTTTACCATTCTTCAAAAAACAAAAAGTGAAAAAACTTAAAAACTCTCTCAACCTTTCGATTTTCTTTCGCAAAGCCCGTGCAAATCGTCAACAGATCGGAGGTAATTTTTACGTTTTTACGATCCTCTTGTTATGTAGATTACGAAAAAAAAAACGAAAAAAATCAAACTTTGGCCTGCTCGTGTGAATTTACACGAGCGCATCCACTGCGCTCGTGTAAATCCACACGAACAAGGGCCGTTAATTTTTTTTTTTAATTGCTCACTTGTTTTCGCACGAGCACTGCTGAAATGCTCGCATGTTTTTGCACGAGCACAACAATTTAATTTTTTTTTCATTTCATTATTTAAATGCTTTTTTTTATTATATGAAATATTAATACTTCCTGTTTTTATATTAATGTAGTTAGCAAATTATAAAACTAAAGAATAAAACTCAAAAAAAAAAAAATTAAAAAATTGTGTTGCTCGTGTGATTTCACACGAACAGAGACGTTCTGCTCGTGTGATTTCACACGAGCATACCTTCTCTGTTCGTGTGAAATCACACGAGTGGGTTAAAAAAAAAACAATTTTTTTAGATTTTCTTTTTTTTTTTAAATTAAATAGCTCGTGTGATTTTAAACGAGCAGGTGCCACCTGTTCGTGTAAAATCGCACGAGAGAATATTAAAAAAAAAATTTGTTAATGTGCTCGTGTGAATTTACGCGAGCACTTGCGAAGTGCTCGCGTAAATCACACGAGCACATGAATAAAAAAAAAATTCATCTCCTCGTGTGAATTACACGAGCACTTGCCAAGTGCTCGTGTATTCACACGAGCAGATAAGGTTGTGGGAAAAAACGAAAAACTTACATTCGGGTCTAAGTTGTTTGGATCCATCGCAAAAATTGTTGAATATCTGAATTTTTTCACTTTGAATGTTGAGTTTTATATTTTATAGGATTGGGTAGGAATAGTACAAAAGGTAAATAGTTATGGTAAAAAGGTAAAAAATCATGGTAAAAAAGTGCCTGAATGTTTAATTTGGCCTGCGTATATTATTACCCAATCCCATTAATAGTTAATGATGTTAACTTTTAACGGAAGGGGAATTTCGTGCAAAGTAAAATAAGCACACAAGGGGGTTTTTCGTAAGATAATAAATGTTGGGGGATTAGGCGCAAATTACCTTTAACACAGTGGGTTTTATGGGCGTATGTGATCCTACACTTAATGAAATTCACCATGTAGCTTTAAACCGTAGATCTATATAAATAACTATCCACTAAAAAGACATACATCGGTGTGTGTCATTATGCTTAGATCGATCGTTTAAAACTATATGGTGTATTATCAGGTGTAGGTTCTCCAAAACCGAGTTTTGTGTAGTTTACCCATTTCGAAAAGGATAAAATTCATTTTGCACCACTGTACTATATGAAATGTATCATTTATCCCACCCCCTATGTATAGAAAACATCAAACACCCCTATATTTAACGGTGTTAAATTTGCGTGTGTTATGACTCTTTTACCATGCTTAATGTCTGATATAATCCCTAATGTTGTTTGGCTTATTTTTGTGTGGATTATTAACGATTTGTAGTGTTCGTTCAGATTATTGTCTTTTGTCGATTTTAGTATTTGATTTTAGGGATTTACGGTTTACTTTTTCAGGGGATTTTCCTATTATAATTTGAAAAGCTTTTTGTTTTTCATTTGTAATTATTTCATATGGTTTTATGCCAATTTTAGAGTTTCTTTTATATTTCAGGACTTTTAATTTTTTTCTTTTATGGGTTTTACATTCGTAATCTGCAAAGCTTCATTCTTTTTTATTCAACTTTTCAGTTTTTTTACTAGAAAAATGACTGAAAAAAAAAATGACTTAATAAAGTGTATTCAGGAAATTAGGATGGATAATCATTGAATAAAGTCAAAATTAAGCAACCTATATATATATATATAAAAAAAAATTATGGTATCTTCGTAAAAAAAAAACCCATTATTTCTTTACAATAGCTGGTCAAAGGGTTTAACTAACGGAAATTAGGAAAAAGACTAACGGCAGGGGTATTTGATGTTTTCTATACTTCAGAGGGTAAATAATACATTATGCATAGTAGAGGGGTGCAAAATGAATTTAACCTTTTCGAAAATGCTTCCAAACACAAACTCTGCAAGCATGTACTGTACAGTACACTGTACTCCCAAACTACACAAAACGCGTACGTGTACAAATCCGACACCCCAACATCAAACAATAATAATAAAATAAAATAAAAAAAGAAAATCGTTTACGTTGCGCTATTTCAAGCCTTCAAATTTCTCATCATCTATCGAAATTCCTCAATTTTCACATGAACCCCAAGTGGGTTCTCCCAATTTCCAAGCAATGGCGGCGGCAAGAACTCACGCCTGCATGAAAAAACTCGCACTGCTATCCAATTCGGTCAACAAGAGACCAGGATCAGCATTCGGGTCGGGTTTTAGAAGGTGGGTTTCCGTTGAAAGCGGCGGAGTACAATACTTTGATGAAGAATTGAGTAAAGGGGGGAACAAGGGTTTTGCCGCTGTGTGGGGGAACGGCGATTTCGGGAGGCTGGGTTTGGGCAATTTGGAGTCCCGGTGGAGGCCTCACCCTATTCCGCCGTCGGCTTTTGCTGATCGGAGTTTGAAGGAGTTAGCTTGTGGCGGCGCTCATACCCTTTTTCTCACCGGTGAATTTTCTTTCCCCTCTCTCTAAAATTGATTTCCTCTTTCTTTGTGGTCGTGATCGGATTTTATTAGTGTTTGATTGGACTTCAATTTGATTATTATATTGACTTGTGTAATCCAACGTCGCGTGAGGTTCACGCGCTCCGATGAATTTTAGTTGATGAATTTCGTAGACATTTTGCGTAGGCAACGTCATTCGTTTTTCTGTGTTCGTATTGATTGTAGATGGCTGATCTTGAAAATCTGTAACTGTACTGTTTTTATTTTCGACTTTGATGAGAAGCTGCAATCTTCTATTAGATCAAGTTATTGCCGAGGATCATAATTCGTAAAAAAAGGATGTTCTAAATTTATTGTGTTCCGCCTTTGTTTCGTGTGATTGCTCGTGATAATCGAACCGTCACTACCATTTTGCTCTTGCTTTTTAACATAAGAAAGTTTCCTACGAGTGTTGTGCGTTTCTGTTTCCCGGAGTTTCCTCGTCGATAGTTCACTCTATCGGGAAATTCGGAATTTATGTGGTCTCTCTATTTTCATTTTTCAGCCTTAAAATAGTTGCTTCAGTTTAACGAAAAAATTAGATATCGTCGAAAACTATTTCTATTTCCAAGCTCGTTAATTAGCTATGCTGATCTGGCAGATAGTGGTGATGTGTATGCTACCGGACTCAACGACTGTGGACAGCTCGGAATATCGGACTCTCGAGATTATACAACTGTATGCTAGTATCTCATCATTATTAATCTCTTACTCGTGTTTTTTTCGGAGCCTTATCGATTTGATGGTCCTGATTTTGAGTTTACCGGAGAATTTTCATATGGAAGGTTTTGTTAATGAGAGACATGAAAAAAAACGAAGAAAAAAAAAATTGATTAGTGAAAGGTTCTGTTGAAATATTTCTGATTCTGTTTTTCACTAATATGTTGTGTTCCGATTAGTGGAATAATTTAGCCTCGTTTGGTTGCCAAGAAGAGATTAAATAATCTAATGAAAATCCAATTATTTTATCCGACCTCCAGGCGCCCAACAAAAAAGCTCCGTAAAAGGCAAGATAAGTCATGATAACATAATATTTGTGGGTCTGACCCGGTAAGTTATTAGGAATACCAAACATCAAACTTAGTCCAATTATTTAGTTAATCATGGCTAATCTCCCCAACCAAACGAGGCTTTACTGTTTTGATTTAATGTGTGCACCAGACTTCATGTATATTTAGTTCATTCGAAATAATTATTGCAGGAACCTGTCAGGGTTTCTATTCCTAAACGGATTATTAAAATTTATGCCGGTTATCATCATTCAGCTGCTATTACAGGTTTGTTGTTATTAAGAACCATTTTAGTTTGGGTAAATTACAGCCTACCCCCTAAGGTAAGGTCAAATTACGAAAAACCCCTTCATGTTTGGGTAATTACAACCACCCATCAATTATGAATCTTCTTACACGTCCATCCTTACGGTGTCAAATTTAGTGGAATCTTCAAGATTATGTGGAATATTCTTCAGTTTGTACCCGTTTTACCTCATTCGAGCTCCACATTTTGAAACAAGATGATCGTAAGATGTGTCTTGGCTTGTAAATATTGTAGTGCATCAGAAACTACATTTTTGCACAAAACTAACATTCCACGAAATTTAGAAGATTATGTTGAATTTGACCTCATAAGGGTGGATGTGTAAGAAGATTCATAGTTGAGGGTGGTGGTTGTAATTACCCAAACATGAGAGATTTTTTCGTAATTTAACCTTACCTCGGTAAATTACCCTATGATTTCATTTTCTAATTCAGATTTTTATCTCATCATAATCCTTCTACAGTAGATGGAGAACTCTACGTATGGGGAAAGAATGCAAATGGACAGCTTGGCCTTGGAAAAAGTAAGTAAACGGGCCTAGGCCTAGGCCCGTATTATTCTATAATTAGTTATTAAAAAATTGTATGCATTGTGTTTCGCTCGACTAAAGTTGACATTTATTTGCATGTAAGTCAATCGTAAATTTGTCTACTTCAAAACTTTATATCTGCAGTGACTGTAATATAATCCTCACTTCTTGATTACAAACCCGCAGAGGCGGAAAAGATTGTTCCTCGTCCTCGTAAAGTTGAATGCTTGGACGGAGTCGTCATTAGAACGGCATCTTTAGCATCTGAACATTCGATTGCTGTTACAGGTCTGTCTACCGTATATATTCACATTACGGTGACTTACAATTACTTACGCATGACGATTTTTTTTTTTTTTTTTTTTTAATAATTTATTATATATTTCTTTTGGCCAGATAAAGGCGAAGCTTTGAGTTGGGGAGGAGGAGAATCTGGAAGACTCGGTCACGGACACGGATCGAGCATTTTGGGTTTTCAAAAAAGTAGTAGGTTCGTTTTTTATTGGCTAAGATTTTTTTTTTTATAATTGTTGGTAAAGATGGCAATTTTGTAAATAACAATTAATCTCTTTTGTTGCTGGTCTCAAATGCAGCGAGTATACACCACGACTAATTAAGGAACTCGAAGGAATCAAGGTATTTCATATGTGGAATAATCTTTTTCATTTCACTTCGGAATAACTTTCAATCTGAGCACGTTGTGCTCGTCGCATTCAGAATAATTTAATAGCATTTATTTCGAAATAACTAGGTCCAAAGTGTTTCCGCGGGAATGCTGCACTCCGTCTGCATTTGTGGTATATTACATGCTTTTAATGGTATCTTAATTTCGATACGACAACCGTAACGGAAGTATGTTTTTTAATTTATTTAAATTTTTTGTCCGGTTCACAGAAGATGGGTCTGTGTATTTCTTCGGTGAAAAAGAATTCGGAAAATGGGTAAGATTCAAAACATGCACTGTTGTCGGTTAGTTTCTGACGTGATTGTCGTAATCGTAATTTCAAAATTTTTAGGGTTTTGGCAAAGCAAAGAGTGCGACAACACCATCCACCGTTAGCTCACTGCCGTTTTCCGAAGAAGTTGCATGCGGTGGTTACCACACCTGCGTTATTACAAGTAATCACTCGTCCGATCGATATGTTAAAGACTTCATTTTGCCTTTGTTTTTAATTAGAACATCTTATATAAAATAGATGGTGGAGAACTGTACACATGGGGGTCGAACGAGAACGGCTGTCTTGGCATCGGGTATATTCCCTTCAGATATTATTCTGTTTCTTTTAACGGTATATAATAAACACACTCACTTAATATAGTCGATATATATTATCTATCAGCTGCACAGATATCGTTTATTCACCCGAACGAGTCCAAGGTCCGTTTTTGAGGCAACCTGTTAGCAAGGTTTGTAACGATGTCTATCTATAAACGGTTGATTCGTAGTTTATTGTCACATGTTCTGCTAAGAAACGATATATTTATCTAATCTAATAGTCGGAATTTATTTGCTCTCTTTTTTTTACGTTTTACGTTTTCACGTACACAGGTATCCTGCGGTTGGAGACACACAGCAGCAATTTCTGGTAAAGATTTCTGACTGAATAGCCAAACAAGCACCTAACTAAAAGTTCTTTTATTATATACCTTCGCGTTTTGCTTACAAAAAGTCCGTTGGCCTATGAATCTAAATTTAGTAGTTTAATGGAGAATGTTCATAAAACGGGAGTGTTTTCAGCTAACAAGTAACTATAGAATTATTTATAAAAAAAAATAAAAAAATCGAGTTGAATTATTAATAAAATGCATGTAATTAAATAAACTACTATTTAATTAATCCTACACTTCAAATAATATATGTTCGAGCTACATATGTTAGTTTCTTGATTCTCTCATACGAAGTGATCGAAATTAATTTAAATTAAACAAATATAGGAGGCAACATTTATACATGGGGATGGGGTGGTTCGAATGGAACGTTCCAAGAAGATGGTCATTCACCGGGCGGACAATTGGTTAGCTTTTTAAATATTATTCTCTTTTAACTATCGGTTTTCGTAATTTTAGCCTCTTTCTTTCTTCTGTTCCAAGCAAAACAAAAAAAAAACATTTTAATTTCGGTTGTGTTGCAGTATTATTTCATTTTCGCAGTCGTGTTTTAGGTTTATAACTGCATTATTTTTTCTAGGGTCAAGGCGACGACGTTGACTATATTGAACCAACGTTACTCGACTTTCACAAGAGTGTCGAAGCGTTGCAAGTTTCTTGTGGATTTAATCATACAGCTGCTATATTCCAATGTATCCGACTTTTTTATTTTTTTTATTTTTTTTATAGCAATGCAATTTTCACGGATAACTAAAGATATTTGTGTATTTTTGCCTTAATTCGTTGCAGGTACATGAAAAAAATATGCAAATAAAAGTTACTTGTATCCCTACTAAAGAAAACTCCGGGATGGATCGGAGCAGAATACAGAGGTTAGTAACAGTAGCGAAAAATATTAATCTATCGAAATATTTTTGAACTCGGGACCGCGAAAATGTATAATTTTAATGAGGTTATTAATTTATCGAGATTCTACTGTAATGTTATCTGTAAATATGCTTCAAATGGAATAATTGATATAATTACTTAGAAATAATATATTATGTTTGAATTGTGACAACTGACAAAATTAATTGTAGCAAGAGAAAAAACAATATAATGAGATCAAGAAATTATGTATTTAAATAATAAAAATAATATTTCCCCACAAAATTAATTTGTATCTCGAATTCGCTTCTCGCTCGAAAGCTCTACTGCTAGTTTAATCAGTGCTTCCTCGTTCGTTTCGTCGCTAATCGGCACAAAATTTCTACTTTTCGAATCTAGCCTCGAAACTCGTTTCTTCAACAAATTTTCTCCGACTTTCACTAAATTCTTCAAATTCGTCTTCGTCGCAACGTCCATTGAACGCATTGCCCCGGTTAAAGAATCGTCCTGAAAAATAAATACATTTTTTTTTATTTTTTTATTACGTGCATCAAAAAATTTGATATTTTTGTAAATGAATATTTAATGAAAAAAGCAAAGAAAAACAATACCTGAATTCGAAGATAATTATCTTGAGAGAAAAAGCGTTGAAGAGATTCTTCTCCACCGTGAGAGTCTTGGAAATAAAAGAGACTGTCGTAATCAGTGAGAAATGACGCAAGTCGACCGATTGTACTCCAAACGGTCGATGAACCATTCATTACTGTGTAATTGTAAAGAAACCACTTTCTTGCTTTCTTGATGTTATATTTAGGTAAACAACTTCCCACCGACAAAAAGAACGGGGAAAAATTACGCTTCTCCGTTCGTATTTGCATCATTGCTGCTAATATCTGCAAAAACAAAATCCCGGAAAAATAATTAGTATTTGTTATTGAATTTTGTTTATTTTTTTTATCGGAGAGTGTAAGATGGAGATATATATTTACCGGGTTGTCGACTGGACTGCCAATGAGGTCGAATTGTTTGGAATTACCGTCGGAATCTTTAGTTACGAAGGAATGCGGAGGCAAATAAGCCGGAAAAGCTAAACTTCCAATGCAGATGTCTGAGAGTGAAACATCCTTATTCTCCACCTAAATCACAAATTGTAAATATTAATTTATATGTTAAATATAAATACAAATAAATAGGAAAAATAACTATAAAAAAAAAAAGAAAAAAGAGAAATTAAAAAAAACCTGATTGGTTGAGAATGTGATGGGGTCTGTGGTGATGACAATATCTGTGAGAGTTTGATTCAGTTTTGTATCACCAATTTTCTCTTTTATTACTGAATTTACATATTTGCCATTATATTTTATTTCCCGGCCGAACCACCATTTAAATTTCTTTGCAGCACGGCTGAATATATTATTTCTGAACCAAACAACAAAGTATTAATTAAAATTACAACTATTTAAAAGAAAAAATATTAATAAATTAAAATAATAATAAAAAGAATTACTTACCCCTGTGGGAATATTTTAGGGAAGTTGTCAATGTAAAATTCTTTGATTTCTTGAGCAGTAAACATCGGACGATTATTTTCGTTAGGTGTAGTAAGCATTGCAGCAGTTAGTGCTCCTGTGTTTGTACCGGCAATTATGTCGAAATAATCTGCAATCCTCGCATCTTTACCGTCTATTTTCTGAAGAATATATATTCAGTATTAAAAAAAATTATTTTTTATACGAATCATGAAAATAATACGTATGTGAGTGTGCTATATAATATATATGTACCTGAAGGTGTGATTCGAGTTTAGCAAGAATAACGAGTGGGATTAAGGCTCTAACTCCACCGCCATCAATCGAAAGAATCCTAGTCATTGGTTCCTCCTGTACAGAACTGCTAGTATTTGCTCCCATTATTACTGAAGATCGAATTATATTTCTTTTGAACGAATCGAGAAAGTTCGATTTTAGGTGTGTGGATGCATGTGTTCTAGTTAGGCCTATTTATAGAGTCAGGTTTTGATGTAAAAAAGGATGCTGTAGCAACAAATTCTTATCTGCGATTTAAACAAACAAGAAAAACTTGCACAAAGATAATTTATTGAATTAAAATAAAATATTGCGGGTTACAAACTCTAATCTAATCCTCTGATTCTCCTCTCAAGAACAATATTTGTTTGACTTTGAATTTCGGAGACGAGTCGTTGATTTGATCTTCTCCGGATTTGATTTGGATTTGAATAACGTCTTCCGAGGGTCTTGTGACTTGAATCTCGGATCGAACGCTGAACTTTGACGGATTTTGACTTGAAGATCTTGGAGTTCTTGATGGATTTGGCCCTTCAATCTTCCTTCGATCTTGATTTGATGTTAATAACGTTAATTCGAGGGTTTAGCACCGTAATCTCGAATTAAACGCTTTAACGCCTTGATTTGATGATGAACTCCTTCGATTTGATGAACTCCTTCGATTTGATGAAGAACGCCTTGAATTTGATGAAGAACGACTTGAATATTGTAGAGAGAATTTTCTCCTACGGTTTTTATTCTTCTTGAGTTGTCCCTTGAATTGTGTAGGGAGGGTCCCTATTTATAGTGGTAGTATAAGAGTCCTACTTAAAGTCTTCTTGATGACGTGGCACGATTTGATTGGCTCTCTTTAAATTGATATCTATCTCTTATAACTTGGAAGAGAAGAAATAATCCTATTGCCAATAATTAATTGATAATTATCTCCATAACTTATTTTGCAAGATAAATTATAATTTAATTTAGACACAATTTAATTAGCTGATTTAATTAACCAATTAATTAATTTTATGCGTCTACAAATGCCCCCTCGAGACTTGTTCACGGACAATGCATCTTGGAGTGGACGAGTCTCGATAATTGCTCAACTTCAATTGCTGCTTGATCTAGCAAAGCACATATAACTTTTGAAATCATGACTGGACTTAGAGAGATTCTAAGTTGCCTACGTACCCTATAAAGGGATCAAGTCATAACGTAGTTCAATATATATCCTTTTGATGGATGTCGTGCACAGTTTATACTCATGTGGACAAGGAGAAACATTTGCAGTTTAAGCTCGTACTGAAGGAGCATTTGACTTGAATTTGTAGATAGTTTATGCTCGTATCAAGGAGCCTTGACTTGATTTCGATATATAGATAGTTTATGCTCGTATCGAGGAGCCTTGACTTGATTTGGATATATAGATAGTTTATGCTCGTATCAAGGAGCCTTGACTTGATATGTATAGATAGTTTATGCTCGTATCAAGGAGCCTTGACTTGATTTAAATATGTAGATAGTTTATGCTCGTATCAAGGAGCCTTGACTTGATTTGCATATATAGATAGTTTATGCTCGTATCAAGGAGCCTTGATTTGATTTGATCTTGTAGACATTTTAAACTCGTGTCAAGGAGTATTTCATTTTTTTTTTTTTTGGACATGTAGACCTTTTAAACTCGTGTCAAGGAGTGCTTCATATGAACTTGAATTTGATATGTGCTCGTAGACCTTTTAAACTCGTGTCAATGAGTGTTTCACTTGACTTGGACTTGTAGACCTTTTAAACTCGTGTCAAGGAGTGCTTCATTTGATTTGGATATGTAGACCTTTTAAACTCGTGTCAAGGAGAACTTCATTTGATTTGGACATGTAGACCTTTTAAACTCGTGTCAAGGAGTGCTTGATTTGATTTGGATATGTAGACCTTTTAAACTCGTGTCAAGGAGAACTTCATTTGATTTGGACTTGTCATATTGCATAGGGTGTTGTTTCTTCAAAAGACTTGCCCCCATCCTCGTGATCTTCTTGTTCTTCTTCGACATGTTCTTCATTGAGCTGGTACGACTTTTGGAATGAAGGTTCTTTGACTTCATTTGCAGTTATACTCAATTCCATATCATGTGCTCGAGTGGCCAACTCTTCAAAACTTTTAGGTTGAATTCCTTGAAGGATATATCGGAGTCCCCATTGCATTCCTTGGATGCACAGTTCAATAGCTGATGTCTCGGGCAGTCGATCCTTGCAATTAAGACTCAAATTTCTCCAACGGTTGATGTAATGGATGACAGTTCCTTCTTCCATTGGCGGGAATTGGTGAGCTCAATCATGCTGAC